AGGGTGCATTGAAAGACTTTTCTGAAGGTGTCCCTTGTGGCAGTCACGTGTCAGGACTGACCAGATCCTAACAGGCAAACCTAGGTTAAAATATGGTAGTTGTGGGGGCGTGGCTAACCGCCGGGCAAGATGGCAGCTTAAGATTTTGCTCCGGCACATGGGATCCGTACTCAAGTGAAATATCCGAGCAGTAACGCTACAAATCGAAGCCCAAAAGATGTCACAGGCTAAGGGGAAGAAAGCGGCACCCAAAGCTGATAAGAATAACTTCTTTGGACACAAACCGCTCGCTGCAACAGAAACCGCGCAAGCCATGCTTGCCGCCGCGCAAGATGGCGCCGACAGCCCAGATGCAAGCTCTCACTTGACACAGCGGGACGAGATACCACAGACTGGACACCTCACAATAACTCACTTCGAACGGGCAATGGAAGCAATGTCAGCAAAACTGATACGAACCTGGCAATCCACAGCCGACCAAATAAAAAATGAAGTCAGAGAACTCTCCAACAGAACAGCCTCAGTGGAAAATGACTGCCAGGACCTAAAAACCGCACAAACCGGAATCTCCGAAAACTTACTTACCTTACAGCAAAGAATGGAGGCCATGGAAGGTAAACTGGCAGACTATGAGGATAGAGCTCGGAGGAATAACCTACGGCTAAGAGGGGTTCCAGAATCGGTCCAACCGGACGACCTACAACTGTACGTCAGGGGCCTGATGCACGCCTATGCCCCAGACATCCCCTCAGACATGCTGCTGGTCGACAGAGTCCACAGAGTCCCCAAACCAAAGCACCTACCGGACTCCGCGCCTCGCGACGTGGTACTCAGAGCACACTACTACCACATTAAAGAACTTGTGCTCCGGGCCCACCGCAGCAGACAAGAGCCGCACGAGGACTATCCATCAGTGCTGATCATGGCGGACTTATCAGCCGCAACGCTGAGGAGGAGAAGAGACTTCCAGCAAGTCACAACGGAACTAAGGGACCGAGGCATCCGCTACAGATGGGGCTTCCCCACAAAACTTATACTGACGAAGAATGGAGAAACGAAACTCTTCTCACGACCAGAAGACGCCATGAATGAACTGGCGAGATGGAGCCCGCGTAGCAAACAGAGTGCCCCACCTGCATCCTCGGCCCACGGGCGCAAATCCACGCGAACTGACCGAATGGACTAACTGCAAAATATATCCTACGGCGCAAGTATATTGACATTGATGTTATTTAATACTTTTTTACTTTGTTGTTCACATGTTGCTTCTGATATTAAGCACGCATATACAATTTAGATGTCGCCACCACCACCACACACAACTGGGCTACGGTGCACCGTGTCCGAGCAATGACATGTCCAACAGGTGACCACCAGCTGACACCACAGACAGGGATGACGGCCCTATGCCACGATACACACACCTGACCCGCTTTACAAGCGGGAAGCGCAAGTCCGGCCACACGCCAGCCCCCACCACCACGGGTACACCAGGGAGGACGTTCCCCTCCCCTGCCGACGCCACACAGTCGGACAAGTCCCCAGACACAGTGACACCTGCGTAGATGGAGGGGTGAATGGCGAATGCCTATTCACACACAGACATCCGACCTCAAGGCGCGACATGGCGGCATGAGGCTGCGCTTCACATCACACAGCACAGCGCCCCACAACAATCTTAATCACAACCACACGTACCCCTCATTTAAAGAGGTCTTTAACCCGGGCTGACCCCCTGTACAAGATGGCCTGCACTGAATCACAGAGAAGTCGCTGCACCGAATGACCCTCAGACACTTATCAAGGCGCTGTTACACATGAGTACGGCAACATGACATAGCTAACAATATACCTGCTGCAACATACTCAGTTACGTGTTAAAAGTTGCGAATATTTACAAGTTATTACCGTTTCGGACATGGCAATGTTACAAGTCATATTGCAATGCAATACCATGCATAGCACAACTGCCCGATACGATGAAGTTCCCCCCACCCTACACCATCCTACACAACTATTGCGAATGTCAACATGACCATCTGCTCTACCCTGGTTAACAAGCGGATCCCGCAAGCCACCCACTTGGATTACTACTACTCCAATCCCCCCACGGTACGACCAGCGTACCAGACCTAAATAGGCCGTTGTACATACTGCCACACCCTTCCCGCGGTCCTTATACTCAAAACCGCACCACCCTACCCTTCCCTATCTGCCCCAACCCCCCCCCTCCACCCCCAGTGACGATTAACTTACGCACAAACCTACTGCATCCTCTGAACCCACAAACATGGCACACATGAAACTTTACTCCCACAACACCAAAGGGTTGAACACACCACACAAACGAAGACTGCTGTTGCAAGATTTGAAAAGTCAAAAAGCAGACATAGTATGCCTCCAAGAGACACACTTTGCCACCAACAGAACCCCCACATTCGCCCTCCGAGACTACCCCACTCAGTACCATGCCACCCACTCCTCAAAATCGCGAGGGGTCTCTATTCTCTTACACAAGTCGCTAACTACGGAAATACTCCACGCTAAAAAAGACAGCCAAGGTCGATTCTTGATCCTACACTGCATACTGAACAACCTACCATTCTTGCTGGTATGTCTATACAGCCCAAACGACCAACAAAGAAATTTCCTACATAAAATTCTCGCCAAATTGCCAAATGTGACGAATACGCCTATAGTCATCTGCGGAGACTTTAACCACACCATGAACTCCCACATGGACTCCACAGTAAAAGCCGACTCCGCCAGGCACGCTAACCAAAAAACGGCGAACAAAGCCTTCACGAAACTGATCCACGAATATGGACTATACGACACCTGGAGAACACGCAACCCGAACGAAAGAGAATACACGTTCTACTCACAGGTCCACAAAACATACTCAAGGATTGACCACATACTGACATCAGGCACCCTTCTCCCGGCCATCACAGACTGCTCCATAGGGAACATAGTCTGGTCCGACCATGCACCACTTGCAATGACCATACTGACTCAATACCAACACAGAGGAAAACCACCGTGGCGCCTAAACGACACCCTGCTACACAACACCGTATTCGCGACAAAACTCAAGAACAACTTGCAAACATACTTCGAACTCAATGACCTCCCGGAAACCTCCGCCGCAGCCATATGGCAGGCCCACAAGCCTGTCATGAGAGGCCTCCTGATAAGCCAAGCATCCTTCCTGAAAAAACAGCAAGAACGGGAACACTTGGATCTTCTAAGGAAACTGCGAGACACGACCAATGAACATCTATTGAAACCGTCTGACGAACTAGCCAAATCTATAGCACTCATAACCAACCAGATCAACACACTAGCTCTAAGCAAGACAACTCATATCTTAACGAAGTTGAAGATGAAAACATATACACAAGGCAATAGAGCAGGGAAACACCTAGCAACCATCCTCCGACAAAAACAAGCGAACTCTAAAATCCCATACCTGCTAACTAAAGAGGGAGGAAAAATCCACAACCCACAAGACATAAACGATGGAATGGCAGACTACTACCAAGCGCTATACAACCTAAAAGATGACTCTACCCTACACCAACCCTCAAACGAAGATATAAAAGATTATCTCCAACAAACAACACTGCCCACGCTCTCCATAACACACAAACAAATCCTTCAAGCCCCAGTAACGACCCAAGAAATAATAGACACAATTCAAGCACTCCCCATAGGAAAATCCCCCGGCCCTGACGGGTTAACTAACTCATACTACAAACAATTCGCACACATCCTGGCCCCCCATTTAAACAAACTAATCAACCACACATTACAAACTGGAACACTGCCAGAGGAGATGCTAATGGCTCACGTAGCTACCCTGCCGAAGCCAGGAAAAACCCCCAACAGAAGCCAAAACCTACGGCCAATTTCCCTACTGAACACTGATGTCAAACTCATTGCAAAAATCTTCACAAACAGACTCTCCCCCATCATCCCCGAGCTAATAGGCAAGGACCAAGTAGGATTCGTCAGCGGTAGGCAGGGAGCAGATGGCACACGGAAAGTACAAAACCTCCTGCACAGCCTGCGGGAGAAAAGGGCCCCAAGCATCCTCCTATCCCTAGATGCTGAGAAAGCATTCGACAGACTCCACTGGCCGTTCCTACTAGCGGTCCTACAAAAATTCGAATTCCCTCCCAAATTCCTCGCCCTCATCAAAGCACTATACTCCTCCCCTACGGCACGAGTGACAAATGGGGGATTTATCTCCAAAACCTTCAAAATTTCAAATGGCTCCCGCCAAGGATGCCCACTCTCCCCGATACTATACATTCTGGCACTCGAACCTCTGGCCCAAATGATAAGGGATGACCCCACCATAAGCGGAATGCACATAAAAGGGAAGGAATATAAACTAACGCTGTTCGCGGATGATATCCTGCTATCATTAGAGCACCCGCACACATCGCTACTACAATTCCATAAAATACTGGCCCTCTACAGTAGATGCTCTTTCTACAAATTAAACATAGCAAAAACACAGGCCCTGAGCATTAACATCCCAAACCAAGACCTGAACGTCCTGAAATCACACTTTAACTACGAATGGAGACAAGACCATATCAAGTTCCTAGGGGTCAACTTCACACCCACACCCGCCACCTTATTTAAAGCAAATTACATAAAACTTTTAGGGGAAATCAAATCCATCACACAAGGATGGAAAGGCAAATACGTATCATGGATGGGACGAATAGCATCGACAAAAATGATACTTCTACCTAAGATACAATACCTCTTCAGAACGCTCCCCCTCCAGCTCCCCACAAAACATCTCTTGGAAATACAAGAACAAATTAACACATACGTCTGGGAAAACACAAAACCCAGAGTAGCGCGCACCACTATGTTCCGACCACTCTCCCAAGGAGGTATGGGCTTACCTGACATAAGAGGATACTACCGAGCAGCGCACATAGCCCCACTCCTCTCAGCATTCCACCACAAGGAAGCGATGGCCTGGGTAGAAATTGAAACAAACTATGCCAACGGACTTTCCCTTCCAACAATGGCCTGGATGCCGAAACACCAAAGACCAAGTAACAAATCACTACTACCAACAACTCAACTAACTTTAACGATATGGGATAACTATCGCAAAAAGATGGGCATATTGACGAAAATATCACCAGCCCTCCCACTAGAAGCTTTGGGAGTCATCATCACGGACTTCAACTACAAAATATGGAACAAACACGGCGTACGAACCCTATCCCAACTCACGACAGACTCCCATCTCAAACGTCTGCCAGACCTCCAACGAGAATTCCACTTACCTGCAACAGCTGCCTTCCCCTACAGGCAACTGCAAGCCTGGTTCGCCCTACAGACAAGGAAATTGGCGATAACCTTCCTGGAGCCCCCCCTACTGGAAGTCGAAAAGATATGTCTAACAATCAAACCAGCCAAGAAACTGATCTCACTGATCTATACTTCAGAACACAATCAACCCTCGAAAAAAACCCCATCCTTTAAAACAGCATGGGAGAAAGACATCAAACACCCACTTACTGAAGACCAATGGCAGAACATTTACAAAGCACACAAACAAATGACGCTTTGCATGAACCATGTGGAACTCTCCCGAAAAGTTCTCTACAGGTGGTACCTGGTGCCCACACGCCTCAAGCTCAGCTTCCCCAACACATCAGACATATGCTGGAGATGCCAGGCAGACAAGGGCACCATGATCCACATCTGGTGGCACTGCCCGCAACTCACAACATACTGGCTGGAAGTAAAGAAACTAGCAGCAAGATGCACCAAAACGCACCTGCCACTCCTACCGGAAATATTTCTTCTACTACTACTCCCGAACAAACTGCGGAAAAGCCACAGATACCTCCTCTACCACATCATCATCTCAGCATTAGCAACCATAAGCAGGAAATGGAAACAAACAACCCCACCGACAATAGAACAATGCATCAAAGCGATAGACGACTCCAAGCGCTACGAAATGATGGCACGGAAAGCGAGACCAAAAGCAGCATACCACTCTACGGCATGGGAAATATGGGACGAGAACAAGCTACAATCCCGTAAAGGAGCTCATACCCAACACACCACATAAAAACACCATATGAGGACACTTACCCACTTCCTAACAACATGCTCCACGATGGCAGCACTTCCCTCTTC